CTATTATTATTATTATTATATAATAATAGTAATAAGCAACAATAATCAAAGTTCATCCGATGATGAAATGTAATATCCAAAGACGTAGAGATGTTTTGGACCTTGCTTGCTACCGCGGGTTTCAGCTTATAAAAACACAGTTTTTTAAATTAACTTTCCGTTTGAGATTCTCTTGATGTATTCATATAATTTGTCTTTTCTTTGGACAATGACAGACTCTGACTAAGTCATAATCAGCACTTCTTTTTATGAATTTGTGCTTCAAATCCACCATCTTCGGCTGCGCTATTGGCATATTAATCGCTAATAATATTTCTTTCATCAAACGGGCCTACAGGTGGAAGGGTTGCATGATTTTCTTCGTCATACACTCTGTGTATAATGCAATATTCGACCTGTACTTTTTAAGAAGCCAACAGTATTCCTCCTGCAAAAAGTGACAGTCAGGGTGGTGAACTGTTCATTCACGACATGTCATTCGTGCGCATCAAGTCGGTTTTTTCCAGAGGCCAAAAATATCCCCAATTTCACTCGTACATTCGAGATATTGTGTATGCAAGTTTGACAGTGTCTGATAGTTTCTTGCGACGATCTTGTGAAGTAGATTTGCCACATGTAACCTGTTCTACAAATTAAATATTACAAGGTAAAACAAAAGAATAATATGAATGGCCAACGTCTAAAAAAACCCAACCTCCTGTGATTTTGAAAAAAACGTTTTCAGATTGAAAATCAGAGTGCGAGAAAACACAAAATGACTTAACTGTTTGCCAAGTGCCAAAATCTTTGTTGACCAGCATTATTAAAAACAAACCCACACATTGCAGTCAGCTGTATCAGCTTACACGTGTTAGATCCAGTAGTTACCTAATACGGGCGGCCCGCTACTGATGGGATCGACCGATCGCCAGACTCGGTCGCCTGAAACTGGAAACAAGCACGTTTGTTTTGGACGATCCACCCGTAGTGGGTACCGCGTATAACATTTAATTCATTTGACTTGCGTCATGTGGTGATTAACATAAACATTACTGGACTAGTGGCCGTCCCGTGATAAGTTACTGTTTGATGTGTTGCGGAATCTCTCACTGTTTATACTCATTGTCATAAGCGGGTCGCACACAACACAGGACGTCCTTAAGGCCCTGCCTCAATTGGACTGCGCGCGCAGGCCGAAAGCAAAACAATGCCCGGTTTATGCAAAGACTAAACAACGCGTGTCTGAATTCTGTCCTCGCCTGAAATTTCCATGAGACCAGCGGTCTGAGTGGGTGTGCTAATGAAAGAAACTGGTAACGTCGTCAAGAGACACTGTTTCGGACTTTATCGATGACAAAAAACATCAATGCTTTTGAGAAATTAAGGGCAAAGAGTATAACAACAGACGACTCAAAGACAAAGCATATGAGTACTCGCTAGTTACGAGAAAAACTTTGACGCAAATGCTGATAAGAACAATGTCATTACAAAAGATCCTCCTTTGATCTGCCTGTTGCAGTCAATCTACCGCGTCGCAAAATTGCCTCTCTCATCATGGTATTCTGTCTGTCTATCAGGGAACTCATATTGTGCAGCTATAGGTGTATATCCATTCTTAAATACATGTAATTCCGGTAGTCTGAAGAACAATCCATCAATTCAAGAAGCAAATTGTTGTTGTTGTTGTTGTTGTTGTTGTTGTTGTTGTTGTTGTTGTTGTTGTTGTATGTGTGTATGTATGTGTGTGTGTGTGTGTGTGTGTGTGTGTGTGTGTGTGTGTGTGTGTGTGTGTGTGTGTGTGTGTGTGTTTAAACCTATGGAAAAGCCACTTTTGGACCAGTCTCTTTTGCTTCTTTTTCATAGACCTATTTCTGAACTCGCCGGAGAAATTTTAACCTGGTTAGTCGCTACAATGGAATGCACTAGGTTTGCACAGTCCTGGCCTGTGCAGTGAGGGTGCACTTGTCCCAGGTCACCTCAGGGAGCCTCAAGACAAAACCCAAGGCGGCCTCAAGGCGGCCAGAGGATCGCCTTCTGGTCGCAGATCCCAATGACATCCTGTGTCGTGTGTGGCCCGCAATAAAGTAACAGCCACCTTCCGAGATAATTAAACTGTTCTGATTAATGTACTTGGGATTTATTATGGAGACAGTTTTAGGATCAAGATTTGCTACAGTCTCACACCGAAAAGTTGGTTTTCAAATGTGATTTCTGGGCCCTAATGTTTTAAAAAGAGTCCATCCATATCAATGTGTAAGAACTATTAATTGCCTACATTGAGTTATGCAAACACAACTTATATTTTATGATCCTAGGGGGGGGGGGGGTATTGTGGCCTAGAGGTTCGCCTCTCATTCAATAGGTCCCGGCTTCGAATCCGGATAGCGACGGAAAATTTTCTTCTCTAAAATGTTATCTTTTCGCATACTTCCCTGCACTCTAACAATGAACTGTCGTCTGCTTTCATCTCCACTTTCTGCCCCCCCCCCCCTCCCCCACCTTTTTCTTTTTTTTTCTTTTTTCGTTGTCCCGTGTCCTAATTTTGCTGCCCGTATTTGTTGGTTACGCATGAATGTACAGACATGGTACAAATTGTTATGCTTTCGAGAGAAACGAAAAAAGGGAAAGGGGGATTGATAAGTCGGTAATGATAATGATGATGATGATGATGATGATGATGATGATGATGATGATGATGATGATGATGATGATGATGATGATGATGATGATGATGATGATGATGATGACGGTGACGGTAATGGTAATTGTGATGGCGATCATGAGGATGGTTATTTATGTTGGCGATGATGATGTTCTGATGTTGGAAATTCAAAAATGTCCTACCAACAGAAAATGTCTGTTTGTCCCTCGCGCTCATATGACCTTATGCAGTTGCGAGCGCGTAAAACACTTACCGAAAAAAATGAAATAAATAAAATACATGTAGTAATCCTGGGATTACGCAAAGTAACTTTACTGTTTGCCAAGTGGCAAAATCTTAGTTGATCAACGTTATCAAAACAACTCACACGATACAGCCAACGATTTCAGCTTACACATTATGTTACCTAACATTTAATTCATTCGAATAGGGTCATGGAGATCATAATTGACACAGGCAAAAATGACTCGGTATAATATCCTTGAACCAGTTTAGAGAGGACAGTTAGATTAGTTTGTCTCATACAGGACTACGATGTCGATGATTTTTGTTCGCATTCCCGACAGCGCTGTCTCGCACTCAGGCTGTTGGCAGAGTTTCTTTGTTCTCACCCAACTTAGTTGGCGCTCCTTCTTGATTAACCGTTTGATAGTGCTTCGTTCATGTCTCATATTATATTATAACCTGATAAATGGAAGTTGGCAGGCGAATTATTCATGTAACGTCTTTTTTCTCCTTTTTAAAACTCTGTTCAGTTGTTAAAGTGTGTCATGAGGCTCTTTAAAGTTAAATCTTATAAATTGCCTAGGGGGCTCTCGTGCTCTGGAGGTACGGTGTTCGCCCCTCATGCAATGGCCCCGGGTTCGTAACCGGACAGCCATGGAAAATTTTCTTCTCTAAAATGTTCTCTTTTCCCCTCCTTTCCTGCTCTCTGGTCATGTTCTGCTATGTGCTTCAAACTTCACTTTCTCCCACACCCCCACCCTTCCCCTACCCTGGGTTCTTCACTCTCCCTACAGCTGCTCCTGGCTCCTTCTTACTGTGTCTTTCAGCCACAGTCCTGATCGTAGGGTTGGTAAGATCTAACGCCTAGCATTCTCGGATAAGGGCGAAAATCTCGAAGATCTCGTGTGCAAGTTGCGCAATCATAAGATCCCTTGATGGTCTAAAATCGATAAGAGTAGGCTTCGGCCTCTACCAGGGCAAAATCTAAAATTAATTCCAACCAAAACCTGAAAATGATTGTGTCTCTCGCGCTCATATGACCTGATGCGCCGTAAAACACTTACCAAAACAAACAAATAAATTACATTTAAGAAAAAAAAAATATCTGGTAATGTTCTCCGTTACCTCTCCAGATCCCGTGTGTCTGGCCCATCCATCAACCCAGCTCGGAGCTTCGGTCCTGCGATGGTCGCTTGGATGTACGGCATGGGTTCAGACGTGTGGACATATCACTACGTCCACTGGGTGGGGCCCATCCTGGGTACCGTATTAGCAGTGATCTTCTTCAGGTTAGTATACCCGGGGGTGGGCTGGAAAGTAATGTCTGTTAAGCCATGATGGTTTTATTTATTTGTTGTAGAATTTGGAAAATTGCTACTAATGTTAATGCTTTCTAACCATATGGTTATGAGCACAAAAAAGTCTGTTCTTCATGTCTTCATTCACACTCAAAGTTGCATGTGTCTCTATAAGCGACTGGGTGCCTGACCCAGAAGTAAAATGGCGACCTCCATGAAGACTGTTCAGAAGCTAATGTTCATAAAAGAATATTCTGTTTATAGTGTGGATTTTGTATTATCATTAGGCAATGGGCAAGATCGTTGAAAGGAAAAGATTTGTCTGAGACAAAGTTCAACGACCAAACATATTCTGGTTGACCACAAAGTGTCTCGAATTCAGCCTTTCAAGATAAGGAAGAGAGCACGATTTAGGTTGCACAGTCTGAATCTTGTTCTTCCAAGCTTGGTGCTTTTTCATGTTCCCACGGCTAATTGTGCACCTGAAAAGGAAGTACTTCGGCAATGATACTGAAGCAGAGGTTATGGGTTATGGTGAAGACAAAAGTCTGCTGATTTCTTTGCTGACGGGATGTGCTAACTAGTGCGACATTGGCGGATCTTAGGGAATAGCAGCAGAGATAAAGTCAAAAAATAAAGTAAGCAATGTATAACTAAGATTCTAAACGGTCTTTTTGTGTACCACTTGTGAAAAAAAAATGAAAATAAGAAAGTAGTGACATGACAGGCATTTCTATGAAGCCCATCCTTGTATAAGCGCTGATATGATGGTACCATCCTCAGCTGTGGTACTTGCCACCCTAGTTCGAATCTCAACAAGACCAGTATTAAACTTTGCATCCAAGAGGATATCATTGTCTTGCGACTTTCCACCATCTTAGTAGTAACAGTTCTGTTGGAAACGGACAATAAACTTTAAATCCGAGGTTCTCTCCTCTCACATAAATCTTGCTGAGTCATTCTAGCTTGATAAGGGCAAGGTTTGATTTTTTTTTAACATGACCGGATTAAAGAGTAGTTATTGTGATTTTTTCCTCTAAGAGTTCTACGCTCTTCTAGACAAACGTGGTCATATTGAAGACAGAGGACAGAGCCCAGTTGAGAAAGTAAAGAAGAAAAAAGGAATGCTGAAACAATCGAAGTATATGCCATCTACTTACATCGGATCTTATCACAGTTGAAGGTTGTTCAACATGTACGCAACAGGCATGGGTTTGATCCCCACTAAGAAACAAGAGCTTATCCCGTATCTCAGTCTTTAGACCAGGGAGCGTCCAAATATGTCTGAGTTGTCTCAAAAAGAGGGATTTAAGAGGCAGGACCTCCTATATTAACGCCCATGACTGGTAGACTTAGCCAAATGGGTGAAGAACCTTAAAAACTCTCCCAAAAGAACCCAAGTTCTTTATTCAAATCATGACCATCTGCTTTGCAGTTCAGTATGATACCAACTGAGCTAACAGTACACCTTGCTCCCTAATCAATCTAAATGCTGCTCTGTGGGCTTGGAATATCCACATCAGGCTAACGCGGTAGCTCGGAATACGAATTCGAGCTCCCCCCCCCCCCCCCCAGTCATTTAATTTTGAAGTCTTTATATCGTATCGAGGAATTGGGATCTCTTCCTTCAAAAAGGTTTCCCTTGTATCTGAAAGTGACATTGTGTATACGTGTCAGGCTTCCACTAAAAAGCAAGATCAAATGAAACTATTGAAACTATCACCATCCCAGAGCAATATGCACAGTATCAAAGCCAAACCTAAACATTCTTTCCACAGTACGACAGTCTGGACGTCGCCACTTGTCTCGAAAAGTACACACCCGTCTGTCGGAGCTTGATACATGTCTTCCTCTCATTATTTCCTAAAATATGAGCTTTTTTATATACATTTGAATTCTTGGAGACCAACCGTGAAGAAAACCCTACTGAATTGTTTCTCCACCGTGTTTGAAAAAACAACCGCCTAAATTACAGTCCCCGTGATTCGCATGGCTTGTTCACTTTCGTCTGTCCGCGTTAAAAAAAAATTCTGGCTCATTTATTAATTTTGCTTCCACCCTTTTGCAGGCCAGCGACCAAACAAAAATTGATATTAAAAAATATTGATCCTGTAATTTCAAAAATTTCTCTATTTGAACCCTGTATTAAAACACTCTTCGGGTGCATACACATGGCCACTAAAATAAATGACTTACAGTAACCTAGCCTACAAATTGCTCATCATGAGATAGTGACACAACACTGTCCCATATTTCAATTTAAGCTTGTAGATTTTACCCCACGACTGTCAAGACGTCTCCACGAGTACTCGCCCATCTGTTGGAGCACGCTTCTTATAAATTGTTGTATCGAGGAACATATGTCAAATGTAATGTTTTAGGTGTATGCTGTAAATCCCCTATTATTTATTTGATCTTCTTTAAGCTAGCATTGAAGAACACGTATCAGAACTTTAGTTTGCAGTGTCCTTTATAAATGGGCGGTTAGATTATGTTGGTCATCCAACTTTTAAACCCGTATGCAAATATATGAAACGATTTAAAAGAGCAATTTGATTTTATCTTGTTTTAGACTAGGTCATAAAAAAGTGAACAAACTATTGCAGGAGCAGACTGAGTATACAGTTCCAATTCACTCTTTCAGGCTTCAAAACGATTTACTCGTACTGTTGAAAGGGACAGTATGTGGACTAGAGAAGACATTGTGCACATCCTCCACGTTCGATAAGAAAAGAAGCCGAAATCATGAGCCAGTCCTTCTGTCCGTGCCCTCATTGCTTAAGTCAGGCACAGTCTAATATTGTTGCTGTAAGACCGTCTGCCGCCTGCTGGAGACATAATTCACGTAAATATGTCTGAAGCTTTGGCTATTCAAAATGATACCAAGAGTGAGGTCAAATGTTCGTGGCGCAACTTTTTGTCAAATATTTCTTAAACTATCAAACACAAACTCTCCTACATTTGCACAATGACTTGTGGCAAATTGTCTTAACAGATCAGTATTTTTGTAAATACCTGGTAACTGTATTCTAGAAAATTATTTGTTAATACTAATATAAATTCCAAAAAAAGTGGCTTCTACAGATTTTAAAAGATTTACAGCTAGGCCAACATGGCTTTTAAAAGCAAGTCCGTCATGTTTTTCTAATCGTGACTGTCTTTATTGAACGCACCTTTCGATAACTTTTAGTGCAAAAAATGTGTTCTCTATGAAATCAACTTGTTGTAACATGTTTTGCCACTAAAAAGTGTCTTTGATGAGCTGTGACGTCGGTCATATAGATCTACGTATACAAAATGAGTGTGAGAAGTGGGAAGCGCTGTGGAACAATCCCATTTTCAGCGTGAAGGAAATTTATAGTATTTTATGTAAATTTATGAAGAATTTTATTAAAATCTAGTCTCAATTGTAGTGGAAATATACGATAACGTTAAGACAAACTGATACAAACTGCTGTGCAAATTATGGATAATATTGATGCACCCGTTAAAGAGATGTTTGGGGAAAAGTTGCGCAACGAATTTTTGACTGCACTATAATTCGGAATCAGCATGTCAACGTTAATTTCATGACTCGCGAATTACTCGTGTGGCTTTAACATAAAGAACAAACACAATAAAAAAAAGGATGGGGTAGCACTTTTACCATGATAGCACATTGTATAAAATATTAATGGTAAAGCAATGACCGTTTGTAAATGTCTCCCCCTCCCCCATATTTCACGCGGTAAACAGCAGCGTATAAAATAACAAACTAGCCATTATACCATCGCCCACAGGCTGGCTGGCAGCCAAAGTTTGTCCGTCTGAACTGCACACGCCACCCCTCCCTTTTTTCCATGTCCTTTCTCTTTCTCTCTCTCTCTCTCTCTCTCTCTCTCTCTCTCTCTCTCTCTCTCTCTCTCTCTCTCTCTCTCTCTCTCTCTCTCTCTCTCTCCCTCCCTCTCCTCTCTCTCTCTTTTCTCTCTCACTCTCTCTCTCACACACATACACACACACGCACACGTACACACAGAGTAACATCTGTCCGGCTGCTCAAACATTTATAAATCAGAGAACGTTATGGACGTTTTCGTGGCCACATAGTAGAGACCTGTTTTTGTCAAAACAAGTCTATAATATTGTTTTTAATGTTTAACATGGAAAACCGTGATGTGCAGAGAAAATAAACTCAACCAACACCAGGGCAAGATGTAACACTAGTTGAAATGACAGACTGGGTATGTGTTTGTGACAGACATTAGTGAATGCGTGACATTTGGCGTTTATGAAGGTATCGTTAGAAAGATAAAATCTGAATCGGCATCTACTTGATGCCAATGGTATTCAATAGATTTGCTTATCTTATGATATAGAATAATACAATAAGCACAACACTTTAATAGAACCTCTCGAGTTTCTGAAACTACTATATTCTGTATTTACTACTTGTATAATAATAATCATAGCAGGGGGTCTGGGAGCTTCAGGTAACGTATCTCCCTGTTCCTTTGACTCTAATTCTGCCGCTCAGTCAATACCAGGCACAATTTTTCTTAATACGAAAAGTGTGTCGATTAATCAATCGACTTATCGCATACAAATATATGCTTGCAAACATGGTAAAAAATACAGTACATTTTTTAAAAAGCAGTTTTTGCTATTTTACACGAGAGACAAAATAGACTCGGAACATCATTGCTAAGAAAACAAACTCTTTGCAAACATCTCAAGTCAACATTTTAAAGAATACTTGATAGTAGCTTCAGTATAGTCTTTAAAAGAAATGTTGTTTTATTGACAAAATTCTTTTGATTGAGGGGGAGGGGGGGTGAGGGTCTCTCTTGTAAAAATAGTTGTTTTTTTATTTTTTTAAAAAGGCTGCATATATGGTACTTTTAATAATGACTACAGCTCAGTGGCCCACACGTTTCTTCTCAGGTTAATCGTTCTTCCGGACAATAGGAGGACTCGGTAGCCTGGAGCGGAGATCCACCCCACAAGCAAGATATAAATACATGTGTACTTCGCTAAAAGTTCTACTGGACAGCGTGCAAGATAAAAATCTCACTGCAGTTCGGCAGGATCACAAGCAAGATATAAATACTTCGCTGCAGTACTGCAGGATCACAAGCAAGCTGCAGTTCTGCAGGGTATACTTTCGAAAAATTAGAACGTTCACTCGACAAGCAAGATATAAATACTTCGCTGCAGTTCTGCAGGATACATTTTCGTAATATCAGTACGGTAGAAACTTATGTGGAGATGTTAAAAGCAAATAATTCTCTCTGCAAAGTTCACATGGGCCGTATCGGTCTATTTTTTATTGAAATTAATAATCACAGAATTTCTTTGCATGATGCGATCTACATCGTAAAAATAATGTGATTAAAAACAAAAATTAAAACTTAAAAAAGGGTGTTTATTGTGTCATTTGAATCTACATGTATGTTCCAATGTTATATTCACTGCAGATTTCTTAGAAGGACCTGACTTATCAACTGGCAGGGTCCTCGAGGTGCGACACAGAAAGATTCCCGTCCCCCCCCTGTCTGTCTGTATATCTGTCTGTCTGTCTGTCTGTCTGTCTGTCTGTCTGTCTGTCTGTCTGTCTGTCTCTCTCTCTCTCTCTCTCTCCCTCTCTCTCTCTCTCTCTCTCTCTCTCTCTCTCTGTGTGTGTGTGTGTGTTTATCTCTCTGTTTCTCCGTCTCTCTGCCACAACGATAAGTAAGTAGATGAATAATGAGTTGGCGTGTGTATGAAAGAATGGGAAAAGCTACCTCAAGTTAATGAAGACATCCACAGTTCGTTTTTGCGTTGATTTAAGTCTGAAATTTACGGCAATAGCAAAAAAATAAATAAGCCATGTATTGTTGTTATTGTTATCGATCCAGCTTCAGCTGGGCTCTCGCCCTTCTGTTCAATGCCATGTAGTGACAAATGCAGATTTGCTGCTGTTCCTGTAACATTCCGCGGAGGGAAAAGTGTAGCTCTGATGTCATTTAGGGCTGTGCAGTGGAAAAAGTGATGATTCACAGTCTCATATGCCTTATCATACAAAGGGCACATTGAGGGAAGCTCAGATTTCATTCTCTACAAGAGGAAGTTGAGCTGCATATTACTATGTTCTGTTCGAAGGCAGAAGATCTTGGTCTGTTTCTTTCTGTGTAGATGGTTGATACCTTTTCGTTTCGTTGCGGCCATGTGTTTGAAAACTGCTCTGCCTGCTTTTCCCAACTCCCATCTTGAGAGAAACGAGGAGTAGAAATAAGGACGACAGATATTGGATAGGAAAGAAGGAGCAGCCCACGCCAGAGTACCCACCAGCCATCCACATCAACAGTTCAATTCATCTAGACACATCACATGTCATGCCAAGAAAAAGGGGATTTGTTCCCCTGACATAAGAATGAACGGAGTGATATCATTCCGGTACGATAAAAAACGCCACTCAAATCATCCTTGATTCTGAAATATCTATTCTGTGTTGCTCATAGCCAAACAGCAAACATAAATAAGTACATGCAGAAGGAGGAAAACACAAAAAAGAAAGAAAAAGAATACAGAAATGTCATTGTCAGCCGTCACCAGAGGAAACTACAGGTATTAAACTTTAGCTCCACGTTTACGTTGAGGACCTCGGCTGTTGGAAGTAAAACAACATGTCTCAATACTCAATCCACCTCCAAGTTTTTAATTAATTTCTGAAATTCCGATGGTATTTTGGTCTAACCGACACATCTTCTTATAAGAAATGTGGTTCTCTGAAAGGAAAGGAACTCTGTCCTGGTTAGTTAAAAAAAAACCAGAACGTGATATTTATCACACTGTCAACTGAGAAACCCAAGGTAATTATCCCTAGCTCCAACAAGAGAACAAAGAGGGTGATGGCATAACCTTGTCCCAAAAATATTAGACTGAGGAAGAGAGCCACCCTTCTAATAACGCTATCCCAAACTGACCTTGCTGTCCCATCTGGCGGAACAGACGGAAATTGATGTAATGAATACACCTGTCTCGTGCCCCAACGGAACAAATCGTTGTTAAAGGGGAGAGAAGCTATCACTTTCACCACACAAGAGCAGAGAAAATAGTTCTGCTTGGGACGACAAGAACTGAATGATAGAGCGGCTTCAGAATAAAGAGATTCCGTTGTAAATGCCTTAGGTCCTAAAAGACACAGTTTTGATGAACAACAAGGAGACGTCAGCTTCAACTCTGCGTGTAGGGCAAACAAGGACTGTGTCAGATAGTTAAAAAGCTTAATGTTTTAGAAGCAGTATCTTCCGCGAGTAGGAATTAAAGTCATATCGTCTGCGTGACAGAGGATGAGCCTAAGCACAACACAACAGACAAGAGTCAAACGGCCTTATGAACAAACAAAAAGCACTCTCATGAACACGTCGTGTCCTCACGTTTAAACAATAATTAAATAGCGCCATTCAGTGTTCTGGTTATGGTAGCTGGCACGTAGTTCTCTCTACGAGTTTTCTCTACTCGCCTCAACCTCATGACATTAATTTCCCTAGACTTCGATGAACTTTTATCCATATTTGACGTGCGTGGTCTGCCTGCTTTCCACTTCTAACGCCAAGAACTGTTCTCATCTTGTTATTTTTTCCCCACACTGCTTCTCAATGTATTTCTTTCAAAAACTGCCTCACTTGAAGCAGTCTAGACAGAGGCTCATCTTCAACAGACTTTCACTGGCATTGTAAGAAGTCGACATTTCTCACCCGGTTCAGTTTTTCTGGGGTCTTATTGTTTACCCACCAAAGGAGTTTGTCATCTCATCTTTAGTACAAGAGATAAAAACCTACAGGTGTGAGGCTGTGATCTGTCTTTCACTTTCAAATTAATTAGCAGGAACAAAAATCCAGAACGTAAACGTTTTTCCTGAAGCATGAGATACAGCCATGCAAAACCACAGAGGCGAGCGACACGAGACGAAGAAGTAGAAAAGTGGAAATGCCCAATTTCCTAAATTTTTCTACACCCTAAACTAACCCTTGCTTTATTTAAATGTTAAACAAACACTTTCACCAGACATGATTTTAACTTGTTTCAATGTATCTTCAAATCTGTTGTTTGTCGTTTCCTTTTCTTTTTTCTTTTTCTCTTTAAAAAATTAGAGTCCTCCATATTGATTATTGCTGTATGAATTACTTGTGGTTCTGATTTTGTTTAAGCAACTAATATATTATTTAGCTGTAGGAAGTAGACGAGGTCACAACAAAAACAACAGATTGGCCATGCTAAAACACAATTAGCTTAAGAACACACTTCGTATGCACGATAATGCGAGACATGTATTCCATGTCATGATACGAATATCCCGCAAATCAAGTCAGCATCAAGAAACAATGCTGGCAGGATGAAATTGATTGACCGCATATCATAAATTTTCCATGTTGCAAGTTTATAAACCATTTCGAGCAACGAAACTTCAGAATATCACCGAGACAGACTACGAAAGAACCTCTACTGGACTTATCACGGTAAGATATCTGTTTATGCTAAGCTCATCAAAGCAATGTGTCCGCGGAAATGTAATCTTATTTTAGGTGTTGTATGGTGTCGAATCCATAACAGTTTAACTTGCATTGACAGCTTTCTCTTAACATGATCAAGCAGAAATGTGGTATGTTGAATGAAAATTTTCAAAAATCACGAAGATAAAATAAATCAATACACATTTTGAAGAAGTTACTGCCTCTACCGCTACCACCACCACCACCACCACCACCACAATTTTTATGATTATGATACGTCTTGTATTTGCAAGAAAGCGGGAGCTTTTATATTATTGACAACAACAACAGCAGCAACAGCAATAACAACAAAGACTTCTACTACTACTACTACTACTACTACGACTACTACTACTACTACTACTACTACTACTACTACTACTACTACTACTACTACTTTTTCTTCCTCTGCTACTACTTCTTCTACTACTACCTCTATCACTACGATTCTATCAATATCATAATCTTTTGTTTGTTTTGTTTTGGTAAGTGTTTTATGGAGCCCGCAACTACGCAAGGTCACATGAGCGCACGGGACACATTAAACATTTTCAGTTTTTTTGTGGGAATTAATTTTGAATATTGTCCACGTGAGGACCAAAGCCTACTCTTATCAATTTTGAACCATTGACCGATCTTTTAAGTGCGCAACGTGATCATGAGACTTCCAAAATGTTTAGCCCTTTCCCCATAAGGCAACGGGTGTGGCTGAAAGACACTGCAGTAAGAAGGAGCCAATGAGAAGCAGTAGGCAGGCTGCAGAGTCAGGAGCCCAGAGGAGGCGGGGCGCAAACGGAGAGGGGGGGGGGGGGAATAGAAAGTGGAGGCGAAAGCAGACGACAGAACATGATTTGAGAAAGGAGAAATTTTTGGAGAAGAATCGGGATAGAAAGAGGAAAACATGGAAAAAGAAAAAGTCCGAGGCAAAGAGAAAGAAGACGAGTTGATTGTTTTTATGCTATACCGAAAGGTTTGAGCGACTGGCGGACCAGCGTTTAACTAGAAAAGGTTTTTTTTGTTTCAAATTAGTTATTCATTGTAAATTTTCCCTGCAAAGTTCTATCGAGTTGACAATTAAACCTTACCATGTGTATGATAAAACACTGAACATGTTATGTGTTTTCTTGGTACTTAGAACGGTTTGTTTTTCTAAGTTAAGAGTGTTGTGGTAAGCACCGACGTATTAAGGTTGAAAAAATGTTTGTTTTGGCCGTCTGTCAATTTGCTTTTTTTTTTTATTTGTGTTTCCAAAGATCTACTAGAGCTAAGGTCATCATATTAAAATTATTAAAATTTCGTAGGAGTAATATAAAGATAAGGAAGAGGAATATCCCCGTCAAATACGTTTGCGTAGACATCGAAGTGATTCTGTGCAGCTCAGACATCCTCCCCCCCCCCTCCATTTTTTCTTTTCACAGTTTTGTCGACGCAAGTTTCTGCAACCTGTTAAGATGATGTGGTCCTGTTTTCTCGCTTTAGCTTTAGCAGTTAGCTTTGCTAACGGCAAGAGGTGAGTACTTCGTGCTGAAACTTTCTAGACATTCCCTTCCTCGAATTCATCCTACGTATCTGTTTTCTTGGGCTATCTTATAATTACCAACTCAAGAATAAGATTAGAATAAGGCTAATACAGTCATTGCATTTAGAAGCTAATCACAATATTTTTTTAAAATTACCGATCGAGAAATGTGTAGTATCTAGGAGTGTACGGGAAGTAAGTTACAGAAGAGACCTCCTGCGGAGAGATGAAAAAGCGTATGTTTATATCGGATGCGATGCTGACCTTATCATTAGACACATTCTAATAGAATGTCCAGACAATGAGAGACCCGAAGAAATTATTTAAAATACACACATTTACTCTTCATCGTTGATCCCAGCAGAATTCTCAATCATTGGTCTTTGCTCCAAAATGTAGATAGTAGGCCTACTACTCAAACGTGTAAATAACTGTTTTTACTATTGAATTTTTACCATTAAATTTGCACTTTAGTAATACCAAACATTTTAATCTCATACGACGTACTCTGTGGGCTCCAGTGGCCCAGTGAGTAGTGAGTTTAAACTCATAAATAAAGTCAAGCAAGACCTGTCGGCCACACGAGAATTTAAATGGGTTATCACTGGGGTTCAAATGGTTCGGACATCTCATGCGATTACCAACACACTATCCAGCAAAACGTGCCTAAATAAAAAAAATCGATGTCAACAAAGCTTGAGGGAGACTGAGAAAGACCTAGATAGATGGAGTCATGGAAACATTAACAACTCACGGCATACCCCTGACCCAAGCTCTCCGGCTGGTGGCAGAGAGACGCCTCTTTCTTCCCGCGACACCCAAAAGGGTATAAGCGGCGGATAAAAGTAAAAGTAAAAGATAACTGATGTGTGCCCTTGAGCAAGACACGGTAACCTCGCTCAAAGAAGCGCACACTGCACAGTGGTAATCACCAATGACATGTTTGAGAAATTGCTTGCATTGATGTAATATTGTGTACATTTAGTTGGTTTTTTAAATGTTTTTTAATTTGTTTGTTTAAATTTAGAGGTTTATATTTGTATTCATGCATGGTGGTGTCGATGGCCTAGTGGTCAGGCTCTTACACTCGCAACCTTAAGGTAGTGAGTTCGAATCCCGTAAGGTGCCCGACATTGTGTCCTTGGGAAAGGCACTTCACATTAATTTTCTCCTCTTCACCCAGGTGAGAATGGGTACCCACTTATAAACAGCGAAAGATCTTGTCAGTTTGTTAGTGTTTGGGCGCTTAATCGGCTGCTTGCACTGTGTGCTTCCCGGGTAACCGAAAATGTCTCTGAGTGTTCTAGGGTCTGCTGGGGCAATGATATAGTGTAAAGCGCATAGAGCTTGCTGTCGAGCGGGGTATGCGCTATGAAAAAGTTATTTTATTATCATCATCATCATCATCATTGTATAAAGAAGGTATTAAAACAGTTAAGACCTTGTTGTATTTCAAAAAATATATATCATCATCATCATCACCATCATCATCATCATCATCATCATCATCATCATCATCATCATCATCATCATCATCATCATCATCATTATTATTATTATTATTATCATTATTATTATTACTACTATCATTATCATTATTATTATTATTATTATTATTATTATTATTATTATTATTATTATTATTATTATTATTATTATCATCATTATTATTATTATGTACGTTTGTTACTGTAACCCAACATATCAGTAAATGGTAATTTATTTATTAAATCATTCATGCATTATTCAATGGTAGCTTCAATCCCAAAATGGACAATGAGGGCGCCATCCTCCCCCCGGACCTGCCTGCTGTGTGTGGCACCACGTGCGGACCCCCCATCACCGTCACGCTCAAGGTGAAGAACCAGCACCAGGCGCCCTACTTTGAGAGCGAGATGCAACTCTCAGGCAGCCCACAGAGAACCCTCTTCTCCATGATGCAGGAAGCTGCCGACAAAAACCCATCTTTCAAGTAAGGTTTACTCGGGATGCCCATTTGGTGGATCGAAAAACTGATCGCCAACCGATCGTCCGACTTGTGGCTTGAAAACAAACGCTCTTGTTTTTAGGCGACGAGTCGAGCGATCGGTTAGTGCCACGATAGCCGCTTTGCGTACTCAATCTGGCTATCAAACCGAACCGATCGGGCCAAAGGGCACTGGGTATACATGATTTGTGTCAGGTCGTTGCAAAGAATCTTGGGGAGCTTTCGTGGCCTAGAGGTTAAGGTGTTGGCCTCTCTTTCAAAGGTCCCGGGTTCGAATCCAGGTAGCGACCGAAACATTTTCTTCTCTAAAATTGTTTTCTTTCACCTCATTTTCTGCTCTCCAGCAATGTTCTGTCGTCTGCTTTCGTCTCATCTGGACTCCTGACTCTTTCTGCAGCCTTTCTACGGCTACTCCTGTACTCCTTCTTACAGCCACACATCTGATCTTCTGGTAGGAAAGATCTACACCTAGCCCTCTCGGAGAAGGGCGAAAAATCTGGGAGACCTGTGTGCAAGTTGCGCACGTTAAAGATCCCAAACGAAGTGCTTATATTTCGTAAATAACTTCCTCTCACTCCTGACATGAGACCAATTTTTTCTGCCTTCACAATGCTCATATCATGAAGTCTAGTAGGTCGCTCAATAACGATGACAACAACAAGGATTTAAACAGATTTTTTAAAACTAAGATAAAAATCCAGATTTCCTGGCAGCGTCTTTAATTTGAACTCTTCATTATCCACCAACACACACACACACACACACACACACACACACACACACACACACACGTACACACACACACACACATACACCCCCACACACACTCACTCACTCACACATACACACACATACTACACACACATACATACACACATACACCTCCACACACACCCACTCACACACACACACATGCACA